TTCCTGCTATTATCTTAGTTCATAACCACAGACTCAGCATCACTGTTTTCAATTTCGTAAAGACGTTTCTTCAAAATTTTGTTCTCCTTAAGTAACTCCTTATAAAGTTCCTTTAAGTCTTCATTCTCTTGTGACAGCTCATATTTTGCTTTCATTGTAATACATTTGAAAATGGTACATTGCTTTGTAGTTCGCGTCTTCAACTTTAAATTCGAGCAGCGTTTGCAAGTAGTGTATTGCATGTTGGGCTCCCTGTTCTTCTGCTTCATCTTTCTCTTTGTATCCAAAACTATGAAAGTATAATTTTAGTTCATGATCCAAAGGATTTACTATTTCAAGATATGCTTTCCATGCCTTGTTGCCATTATTCTCGTAGGTCCACTCTGGTAATGGTATATTGTATGAATCCAAGATTTCATTCAATAGCGTCTTGAATGAAATTTTAAAAACTCGTGATTGATTCATGATTCCTACATAAATACCATTAAATAAATTAAGTGTAAATATAAATGTGCAATGATACAATAATGTTAATTTGAGCTAAAATAAAATATTGTACATTTAATTAGCCACTCTATTATGGTATTTGATGTATTAAAGTGGGTAATAATTTTATAGTAAATTGTATTTGTAGAGTTAGTTGACTATATATTATGCCCTTGAAAATCTTTGTTGCGTTGACCCTTGAACACCAGCATACATAAATTTCGCAAAAGGAACCAAAATAAAATTTTCCCTTTGAGTTCATGATCACTCAAGAGGTATACACCAAATGCTTATAATATAAATATTTAACTGCAGTGTCAGACATAGCAAAAAAAAAATTCAACTAAAGTAACTAACAGTAATAATAGCTAAAGACACAAATTTCGTGAAGAAATATCTTCATCAATTGATTATTAAAAATTTAAGAACAACATGGGACATAATCGACAATAGCATTTACCTCCATAAAATTCTTACATCTGAAGATGAACATATATATTTTTTTAAAAAAGAATCTTTTGACTTATTGAAAACAATTTGATTACAAAAATTCTGGACAACAAAACCCATGAAAATTTATATATATGAGGTAAAAATTTGATTAAAAAATATTTACCGAAAACATACATACTTTTTGAAAACAAAAATAGCAATCCACGCAAAACGTGCATGTCAAATCAATTCCTTTGTCTTCATACAAAACAAATAGAAAATAAAACAAAAAAAAAACAAAATTCGATGCATGTTATTAAACGCTTACAATTGAAGATTAACATGCCTTTAAAAAAAATATGTATTGAAAGAAGATGTACCTGATAATCAAGAGGAGTGGAAACCCAAAATCGATGCAAAATTTGCCAACCAATTGCACTCAAAATACCTAACCATGAATTTGATGCGCACACATTCATACACACATATATACACATATATTTGATATTTGATTGCATTTTAATATATGGTAGAAACTTAATTATTGTAAACATGTAATTACATCAACAAAAATAAAAATCTAAATTTAGAAGTAATATTCGTTTTACATGTCCTAATTTGTATAAATAAAATAGTTTAGCATATAATGTCCCGTGGAGGGGGGCGGGGGGGAGCCACAGGCAAAACAGAGGTCAGAATCCTGAAGGAGTCTGCAAAGGCCCGCGAAAAAGTCGAGGGTCTCTGCAAAAAGTTGAAAGCGCCAAAACTTTTGTTCATAAGCTTTGCACTGCTTTCATAATCACTGCCTTGCAGGACCACAGACTTATCTCTCAATATGACCATTATGCCCATTTTCCTTGTGGCCTTTGCTTATATGTTTCTATAACTGTTGAGTCTTTCAATAATATTCTGCCTTCCAAGCAGTAACACAATTCATTCCGAAATTTAACACAATTCAATCCGAAATGAGGAATTTGGAATTTGGAATTTGGAATTCAAAATTCAAAATTTTTTATTTATATTTTTTCTTAATATCACTTTTGTATTAATAATAATTTAAACAAATCTTTCTTGTATCATTAACAATATGTTTATATTAACAGATATGAATAAATGATAACGAATATTAACTTAAATTGAAACTTTATATTTTACAGATGATATCATTAATAATTTTATTTTCATAGATTGGAAGATACGTGCATGATACCCGTATTGTTTTAATATATTGCTTTCTTTTTCATGCTGTTTAAATCCTATGTCTTAATACAAAGCAAACAGAAAATAAAACAAAAAAAATAAAATTTAAGATATGTTACTAAACATTTTTCCCTTAGCCTTGGCTTGGAGCTTTCAGCGTTCTGTCGAAGACAAAAACCGGTGTATCCATTTTTTAAGTTTTTCATATACAGACTGCACCATGGGCAATTTTATTTGGGCCTTGGAGTGAGGGCATAAAGCATACATCAAAAATTGCATGATCTAGGATGTATACGTTTTTAAGTCACATTCGCTTGTACTGTTATGGCCATAAATCCTCCATCCGTAAGTCTATTCTTTCTCAAGGAGTTGAGGAGAAATAAATGACTGCATCAGTACTTTTTAAAAAACCTTGTGAAACCATTCTCCAGTGGATTAATTAAGTAAACGATCAAAATCTTTTAATTAACTAATGAATTTGTAGATATATCTAATAGAGATATTTATGTCTCTTGTATTTATATCGCATTACTTTCCAGTACCTTTTGTTTTTGGTTGTTTTTTCTAAAGGCAAATTAACAAACATCTTAGCATACGATCACAAAAATTAATTAACAAACATGTTAGCAAAAATCTTACAAAAATAACGATGAAAGTACTTTGTTTAAATCCTATGTTTTCATACAAAACAAATAGAAAATAAAACAAAAATAAATAAATAAAATTCAGGATATGTTACTAAACTCTTACAATTGAATATCAACATGCTTTTTTTTTTTTAAAAAAATATGTATTGAATGAAGATGTACCTGATAATCAAGAGGAGTGAAAACCCAAAATCGATACTTTAATATGCCAACCGCTTGCAGTGGAAATACCTAACCATGAATTTGATACTTGAAATCAATATATTAGAGGCTATATGTAGTATAGACATAGGAAATAAGAATTGATAAGAATACAAAGAGATATTGATAAGAACATTAAAACTATGTTTATCTTAATTTAAGTTGCTTAAAGTATGTAACTTTGGGTAGGAAATAAGAATCCTATAATATTAAGAATTAACATGTAAGATGACCATGTCTCGTTAACAAACCATGTAGTATAGCCGAGTAATAAATATGTTTACTAATTATACTTGGCAACTACTATATGTTTACTAATCATTTATTAAGAATGGGTACAAAACTTTGTTTCGTTTATTAAGAATCCTATAATAAAATTTATTAAAAATCCTATTAGAAAACTACTTGCCGTCTCGTTAAGCCATGTAGGAAAGAGAAAATATGAAAGGATAAGTATGAGAATACGACTTTATTATATATATATATATATATATATATATATATATATATATATATATATATGATTTTTATAGGAAATAAGAATTGATATATATATCCAAACAAAAAAGGAGCAAGCCACGTAGGAAATTACTTGCCGTCTCGTTAAGCCATGTAGGAAAGAGAAAATATAAAGGGATAAGTATGAGAATACGACTTTATTATATATATATATATATATATGATAGAAGAATTTCTAGAATATATTTTAAAATATTTTTTTAAATTTTTGAAAAAATATAAATTAAGTTTTAGATAACCTTTTAAAATATTTTTATTATATTTAAAAAGCTAATTTTTGAAAAACACCCCATCCATTTTTATTGTCTTTTGGAAATGTGCAAAGGCACCACTATATTGGACTGTTTTCCCTATTGTCTTTTCGATACGTGTTCGCTTGGAAATTTCATGTTTTCATACTTTGTCCCCACCGCCACATTAGCAGCAAAGGATGCCCAAAAACTGAAAGAAAAGCGGAATGCAGAGTATAAAATGAAAATGGCTTTCTTACTCTTAATTTAAGATACGAGACAAATAAATAAGTAAACATTAAATCCCTATTTAAAAAATAAGTAATTACAAAATCCAAAGAATAAACGTATCATATTTATTTAGATTTACATGTTTGGATTGCAAATTTTTTCAAAAAAATTGTTACGTTTTTAGTGATCATATTTTTCAATTACTTTTTTACTTCACATATATCAAATTTTTTCTAGAAAATAGCAATCCAAATGAGATTGAATTTGAAACTCGTAGCATAAAACCTACTTACCAAATATCCCTTAAACTTTAAATAGTTTTTTATTTTGAAGGATAAAACTTTAAATAGTTAATGCAAGAAACATTTGGGGTCTATCGTGTTGGTAAATTGAAATGTGAGGCAAAAAATGGAGCTGTGTGGAATGCATCCGTTTACCTGTATACCGTCTAATATCTAGCAATAATTGAGTAAATGTTGTGGACTACATTAAAAGATGTAAAGTAAATCGTCAAAAGCTGTAAATCAAGCTCAAAGAGTCAAGACCCAGTAGGAGTAGTACTAAGGAAGCAATCCCTTTCTCCAAAGTAAAAAAAAAAAAAAAAAAAAAAAATCCTTTCCAAGTCCATATTCCAGAAATCGAATATCATCCTTTGTTTATTAACTATGATAAATGTTCAATACTTAGTTGAGTAATACATCACAGAATCCAGCACTAGTTGATTAAGAAGCTGCTGAGTAATTCTTCTTTTCAATACGGAACCGGCACGAATACGTAATCTTTTTGGTCTCCAACACTGCCCACTTTTGTCATTTTATTTCAACCAAAAATTAAATAGTATCAGTTTTTCTATTCTACATATTTCAAGGATTTTTTTTTTTAAAATTAATATTTTATTAATCATAAACTGAGAACAAAACCGAGGTTCGAGCAGATGCCCTAACCCCTAAAAGAAAATCGAAAGTTACAAAAATTCTGCATATCCAAAGCCAAAAGTCCTCTAGTACAAGTCAGTAACTGAGAGCGCTTAGTGAAAATAACTTGAGCGCCTGACAAGGCCCCATATGCTGCTAGCGAATCCGCCACTGTATTCCCTTCCCGGTAGCAATGAAAGAAGCAGTGAGAACTTGACTCACCCATCCAAATAGCACGAACAATAGGCCGAATCCCTGCGGGAACTCCCCATTCCTTCCTTAAACACTTAATCAGAGCCAGACAGTCAGATTCAACAATTAGCTGAGGGACCCTTACTTGGCGGCCCAGTTGCAGCCCCAAAAGGAGAGCACGAGCTTCCGCCTGCAAAGAGTCCAACCCGCCAAATGAATCCGCAAAAGCTACAATAAACCTCCCACACGAATCCCTAATCACCCCTCCCACCCCCACTACCACGCACCGTGGCACACCCATCAGTGTTTAACTTGTAGCAGCCCGTCGGAGGGAAAGCCCACCTGACAATCGTTGCAGTTAAAACCCTCCGAACCCCAGACAGAGCCTGAAGAAGTTCCTCCCATTGCCAAGGCACCATAATACCCGAAAAATGGGCTCTAACTAGCATTCTTACCTTTTGTATGATAAAAGCACGGACCTGCGAAACAGAAAACTTGCGACCCTCGAACCGGGACAAATTCCTCACCCGCCATAGAAACCATAATATCAGAATTCTTACATATTTCAAGGATTAATTTCACTTTACACCGCTCAATTATTCCCGAATTCCTTCTTTAATCGCTAAACTTTAAATTACTTTCTTAAAGTATAATATGTGTCTCACTTTGGTCCTTTAATGTACAAAATCTATCCTATTTTAATTCCTAAATTATAAAATCTATTCCACTTTAATCCCTAAAGAATGATATTTGTCTCACTTAAATATAAAATCTGTCTCATTTTCATCATTAATTTTACCTAAGTGGGACAAAATTTTTATTCGAAAGACTAAAATGTCGCATTTTAAAGTTTAGGAATCAAAGTAATAATCTGAGCATTGGTAAAAGGTGAAAAGTGGAATTAACCCTATACGAATTAGCGGAATGTGTTTTATTTTATATTATTAGAATAAAAGCAAAGCCGTTAGACGCGGTTGTTGGTAGTCGTACGAAAAAATCCAAACTGTTTCCTGATGTTCTTGTTCAGCATCCAACAGTGATTTTCATTCAATCCTGACCACCCACTCTATATTTTTGTATTCGTTTCGAGCTAAAGAACTAGTAATGATATAGGCAAACAAAATTCCCAACCTTTTTCCTTTGTACAAATTTCTTATATTTAAACGCATGTCATGACGATGAATTATTTTATTCTATTCCTTGGTACTTCAGTACACACTTTTTATAGTCTTTTCAACCTTTGTTCACACCTTGTAAAGTTTTACCACTTGCTAGCCATCTACAGTTGGGATCAAAGAGTTACCAGTGGATAGGAGAAAATAAATCCTACACTTGATCTTTTATGAAAAAATAAAAATAAAAGGTAAAGAAATTATTAAATATTTAATAGGACTTTCTGGCTAATTTCTTAGATTATAGATAAAAAAAAAAAATCCGCCAAATGCACCTCCGACATGGTGTGTGTCTCAATTTATAGATGCCGTGTTGAGTCAGCACGGTCGCATGGAAGAAATGTTTTTTTTTTTTTGAAAAAGTCAGAATGGGCGTGACTTTTTAATTGCCTGTCGGCAGCCGTGCTGACTGGGCACGGTGCCAACAAGCAGTTGAAAAAAAACCGTCAGGCGCCTGACAGTTACGAAGGCCGACAAGGCCATGTGAAGTCTGAGCCGGATGAGCAGGGGCAGGGGGTCATATTCTTGTGCACTATTTCGTGAAAATAAATAACAATAACACCACCAAAGAATTTCATTTCAAGCCAACAGAAAACAGGCATCATATATTAGTTTCACTTCTCAATTTTCAACATTACTTCAAGATGCATATTATTACTAAAATTATCAGCAAAAAAGGCTCCTTTTGCCTTCTCAATTACAAAATTTCAAGAAAATATTATAGTAAAGAAAAAGCCAGAACCACTGTGAACTATAGGTGACAAACCAACTCAATTAACTAAATTTACTTATACCCGCCCATGAATAGATAGGTATGGTATCTTAAATTTTTGTATATGAGTATCAATGGGTTACCCAATAATACACATTTATTAAATGGATATTATTGGATAACCCATCAAACCCAGTTAATCCATTTAAAATTCTCTTTTCCCACCCATTTTTTTTTTCAGATTTTTCATTTTGTCATGATGTTAACTGCTTTTATTTTATTATTATTATTATTTGTTGGTTTATCTTATTATTTTATTTTCTCATAGTTTGTTAACTTGCTCATTTTTTAGCATTACCAATTTATGATAAATTTTAGCCTCTTTTTTTATCTTTATAAAATAAAATTTTAAATTTATATATAAAAAAATGTTAGGGGTTCAAAATTTTTGGATTAAGTTTTAATATTAACTTTTATAGTACTTAGTTCAAATTGTTATATTCTTATTATTTAATTATTAAATAATATGTAATTTTGCGATATAGAGTATCAATGGAAAAAAATTGATAATTAGGCTTATTGAATATTATAAGTAAATATTTAAAACTAATGATAGGTACAAAGAGCGGTATAAATTGATAACTTAATTTGTAAGAAATGCTGCTCCAAAAGCTCCTCTGCCAATCTGCTCCATTACTTCATATTCTTCCAACCGGGATTCGCCATCTCCATTTTCTGTCTCCATTAGGCCTCTTCCTCTATCTAAAGATGAAAAACAAAAAACCAAAAGGGTCAGTCCAAATCCAGCCAAAGATACAAACCTGAGCTGATTGAAGCAGTTTCTGCACTTATCCTGCTTTAACCGAGGAAAAAAAATTATGGGCTCACAGCTAAATCCTTATAAGCAACGAACAAAGGAAGAACCTTGGGTTTTGCACAGCTGCAATCAAGCAAAAGATGCCTTCAAAGTTCGGTTCTTGATAGACAATTTCAGCAATGACTAGGCATAGAAATAAAGTCTGCAAAAAAGCAACATTCTACAATTATGTCAGCTTTGTGTCAGTCCGAGCCGTGCTGACTATGCACGGCTCGAACTGACACAAAAGCTTGGCTGCGGGTTTGTGTCAGTCGGAGCCGTGCTGACTGTGCACGGTTCTGACTGACACAATGACACAGCACGGTTCTGACTGACACAATGACACAACGTTGAATGCACTGACTTTTTTTACTCGTGCGAATTTTAATTTTGAAGCCGTGTTGAATCAGCACGGCACGTATAGAATAAGAACAAGCCTGTATCAAGGTGCATTTGGCAGATGTTTCTTTTTTTTACCTATAATCTAAGCAATTAGCCCTTGACTTCTCCATTTAACTCATAGACTTTCTTTTTATCCGCCAAACTTGGCACCAATTCACTCTCTTTTTTTTTGAAAGGTCAAAATATTTTTAATATTATGTTTTGACCTTCAGATTGTTAAAAATTATTAATATATCTCAAATGTTTCAAACTTTATAAATATTGTCCTAAAGTTTGGTATTATTTTTCAAATAAATTCATAATTTTAATTCTAAACTTGTTAATGCTCATTAAAAAATACAAATTGCTACTTGATTGTTCTAATTTCTTTGTATTTTTTTGTTAAATATATTTGAAATATCAAATATATATGAATATACTTTTATTAATATTAACATGTTATTAGGTATTTTACATATAATATTTAATTTTTAAATAATTTTTATTTATGACGTCATCCAGTTCAATCTTGATCAAATCCGATTGAATCTATTAAACCCTGACCTCTGACCTCGATCGAGTCGATATCCAGTCCGATTCTGAAAACATAGCTATTTTCTCCTTCACATTACTTGAAGTAACGTTAAATAAGCATCTTGTATCCAGTAAGAGTGACATTTATACGTTTAAGGTGCAAGGACAAGTCTATCATCATCTTTCTAACCTAATGCATAATGAGATGCACAACACCATCTCTAACATTTCTGCAAACGCAAAGAATGGGATAACATCATGAAGTGCTAGTTTAAGCTAAGCGCGTATTGTACTATTTAACAAGTGGAGCTTTATAATTTTTTTTAAAATATTTTTTTGGAGTTTTACAGTATAATTTTTACCTGTTTTTCATACCTGTAGACAATTAATACCAAATGAATAATCATAATAAGATTAGCCGTCAAATTGTCATTGGGTAATACGCTAGCTCGCTGCTCCATGAACAGCCCCATGGGGAAATGCCAAATGCTTTGAACCAAGTAAGTTTGTGAGGAATTTGAGGGCAAGCTATGCATGTGAAAGTAGAGCACGGGCTGCTTAGCTACCCAATTAATTTCAGGGAATAATTTCATTTCTTCCCGAATTAACTCTTTGATGATTTACAATTCACAAATTAACTCTTGATATACACTAACTTCATTAACTTAACTTGAGGAGACAAAATGGTTTTGAGTGGATATCTTCCCTCACTGGGTCACAATCTGCCTCAAAACTAACTAGGGTATACCTGACTATAACCGTGCACCCCATAATAATAATAGTAATAATCATCATCATCATCCGTCCTTTGCACGGCTACTCGCATTCTGGCAAACGCATGTAACGTGATTGGGAAATCCCATGTTGATTTACTCGCATAATATGATTAATTATGACTAATTGAGAGGAACTGGATATTAGTTCATCATTGCATTAAGTTTTGTTTATGTTGAATTAATAGTAAACAGTCAATTTCCGGGAGATGCTATCTACCAATTCGGATGAGTTCTAACTCATTCAAATGAAGTTGAGATAGGCTGTAGATGGCTGTGACAAAGGTTAATTGAAATTTGTCAAATTTAATGTGTTTTTCAGTTGATCTCCATGTTTTTTTTAATTCATTTTTTTACATATATATTTTTCTCAATACGCTCATTTTGATAGGACATTGTTTGTTGACTTTATTAAGTTTATCACGGAAATTATAGCTACGTGATTTATTTTAGCCTCGTGACCTGCGCTATCAAGTCCAATTTCTATTTGGCTTGCAATTGAAATCATTGAAGATTAAGGGAAAAAAAAAAAAGCTGCTGAACTACTCAAAGCTCAAGCCAACAAATATTCAACTTCATAAACTTTCTATTCCTCAAATGTGCAGTTTAACTTCATAAGCAGAAATTGACATGGCCAGCCAATCAGCCTTGCTAAATTGATCATTGCTATACCAATCAACAATGCAGGGTCTCTTTTTATTAGTTGTCTCATGCCGATTTAATCCATTCAGACTTGTTCATTAAATCAAATTAGCTTCCTGAAAATGAAATCAAAAGGTATCTGCGTTATAAATGTATTTTGTCTGTTGTTATTATATATATTTTGAGTGTAATAAAATTGCTTGTTTAGCTCCTTTATATAAAGGATTTAATTCATTGATTTGGTATTAAACCCCACCACAATCCAACATTGGAATGCACAGCTAAGCACATTATGCATCACATCCACTTTAAATTCAGCGATTACAGCTGAATGTAAGTTGAAGAAAGA